AGAAGTTACATCTTTCAAAAGTACTATTGAGAATTTTTAGTGTAGTTTGCAAAGAAGATGAACAAAGTTTTAAAAATGATGTAGGCATTTTTTTTATCATTCTGAATTTAAAATTTCTTTTTATTTAAGGAGAAATAGTTCATTTTCTTCAAGGTTTTTGAAAAAGGTGATACGTGTATGAGAATTCTTTTCCTAAGGAATTTAAACATTACTTTAGAGAGGACTGTTTTTGAACCTTACCTGGGGTATGCAGCTCTCTAATATATATAATATAGTATAATATAATGTAATGTAATATAATTTCTAAAATGTTTACAGTTTCCGAGTAGTGTGTACATTGTGGATATGCTACATATTTGCTTAATTTACTAGAGTGGAATAGTTTCTAACCCCATGTTATGGTACCATTGGATAAAATGCTTGCAAGTTGCCCTCTGAAGTGTCAGTTTTGTGAGTAAACCTTCTTAGAAGGAAAATCAGGATCAAACTACTTTCTATTCAAGTTCTTTTCATATGGATAACAGATCTAGCCTCTAAACTTGCAAAAATGAAGTTATGACTCTTTTCATAATTCTTGGCCTTTGGTTGTTAGAGGAGAATTTCAACCTCAGTAATAGCTTTATGTTTAATGACTACTTTATTATTTTGGAAGATAATTGTATTTGTGAAAAATTACTAACTTGATCTGAAATTTTTTAAATCCAAACTTTATTTTCAGAATGAAAAATGCCACCTCTTGGTTGAGCATGAGACTCAGAAACTAAAGGAGTTAGATGAGGAACACAGCCAAGAATTAAAGGAATGGAGAGAGAAATTGAGACCTAGGAAAAAGGTAATTTTAAAAGCTTTAATTAAAATATGCTTGCATTCATCCATCCCTCCATCCTGCCAGCTATTGGCTCTTTACCTAATGTGTGTCAGGAACAGTGTCAGGGACAGGAGACACAGAGCTGAAGAGTCGAAGCCTCTGTCCCCGAAAGGTTCAGAATCTAGTTGACAAGCCGTTGCAGATCAGTAGCAGCATTTGTCTGAAGGAGGTAAGCACAAGATACAGAGCAGAGGAGCACGGTGTGCCAGCAAAGGAGGAGGAGTGCTTAAGTCTGCTCAGGGAAGTCAGGAAGGGTTAGAGAGGAGATGCCTTGTAAGCCAAGTGAGGCTTGATAGATGAGTAAGAGCTTGCTAGGAGGACTGACAGATTGGAGTGGAAATGGGGCAATTTAAGTACAGAAAAGAGAATGAGTGAAAATAATGTGTACAGGAATCATAAGTAGCTCCCTATCATTGTAGCATTAGAGGGAGTGTGTGCCTGTGGGTAGGCATTAGGGAGGGAGAGAGGGAAGGGATGACAGCTTTGTCTGGATGGGTCGACTGGAGCCAGATTACACGGCCCTTGTGTGCTGTGTTAATTGACAATTTAGTAAAGTAGGGATGGGTTCCTACACCGCGCCAGCCAGCCAGCCAGGCAGCCAGCTATCTTCTTTGTTTGCACTTGACTCTCTGCTAGCCTGGTCCAACTGGTCAACCATTTCAACTCTGTCTTTGCTATTACTGTATGATTCTCTCTCTTTGCCAACTGTCAAACTTAAACCTTTATTTTCTCTTGGGCTTCCTGCCTGCTATACATTTCAACCATTCCTTTCTTCCATTCACCCAGTGGGTTAATCAAGGAAATGGGAACAATCTTGTAGATTGTCATGGCTTCAGCTGCATGTTTAAGGACAATTCCAAAACTTGTATAGAACATGAATTATAAAGTCATACAGGTCTGGGTTCAGATCTCAGTGCTGACACTGATTAATTTTGTCTCTTAACACTTCTGAGCCCAGTTTTCCTCATTTGTAAAATGAGGATGTTACTACCTCCCTAATTGGGGTTGTTAAGACAGTTAACGGAAGTGATGTGTGTACAGTACTTGTCCCAGTACTTGAGATGTGGTCAGGATCCAATGAATGATTGTTATGGTTATTATTTTATTGTTTTTATTATGGGTTCGTGCTCTCAGCTCTCATTTTCCATATGGATGTTCCATTCCTCCTCATTTCATTCATTCTGTCCCATTATCATCTCATCAAAGGTTTCTTTTTTTGATGACTGTATATAAAATATAGCTTCAATGCCTACCTCAAACATTCTCTATCCCCTCAACCTTTCTTTGTTTTTCTTCATAATATTCATCACCACCAGACACATTTCTTTATTGTGTGTCTTCTCCCACCAGAATGTAAGCTCCTTGAAAGCAGGGACATTATCTCGTTGTTCACTGATACATACCCAGCTTCTGGAACAATTCCTGCACATTGTAAATGATCAGTACATACCTGTTGAATGTTGTTGAACGTTGACTAAAGATTGTAAACTCAGTGGAGATAAAACTAAACTCAACATCTTTTTTCCTTCATCTCCATCTCATCTTTCCCCCTCTCTCCAGTCCTACCCACCATCAGGTGTTCTTCCTAACATTCCTGTTCTCTTACCTGACATCTAGGCTAGAAACCTGAATTACCTTTCATTTCTATCACACCCCACATTCAATCAGATGACAAATAATTTTGACTCTTATTTCATAATATTTCTCTTTCCCACCACCAGACACATTTCTTTATTGTGTGTCTTCTCCCACCAGAATGTAAGCTCCTTGAAAGCAGGGACATTATCTCGTTGTTCACTGATACATACCCAGCTTCTGGAACAATTCCTGCACATTGTAAATGATCAGTACATACCTGTTGAATGTTGTTGAACGTTGACTAAAGATTGTAAACTCAGTGGAGATAAAACTAAACTCAACATCTTTTTTCCTTCATCTCCATCTCATCTTTCCCCCTCTCTCCAGTCCTACCCACCATCAGGTGTTCTTCCTAACATTCCTGTTCTCTTACCTGACATCTAGGCTAGAAACCTGAATTACCTTTCATTTCTATCACACCCCACATTCAATCAGATGACAAATAATTTTGACTCTTATTTCATAATATTTCTCTCTCCCTTTACTGTCTTCCTACTATTTGCTTAAAATTGTTCAGCAATGTCCTAATGGTCCTTCTGGTCTCTTATTCCCTTTCCTCCTACTTGCCTGCCATCACCAGAGTGTTTATCCTCAAGAGCATCTCTGTTACTGTCATAGTGGTGTTGATAAATCTTCAGTTCCAACAGAGTAGAATATAAACGCCTCACTTTGACTTTGAAGCCTTCATAGTGCCACACCTTGCCCATATCAGCCCTTCTAGCTTCATCTCCCACTAGCCACTTTGTTCCCAGTTCATGTTGCAGTACTGGGTATAGTCACCGTTACTCACAGCAACTCCACAGTTTCCTGCCTCTGTGCATTGTTTCAGCTCACTTTGTCTGGCGTGTCTTCCCCATCCCCCCCCCACTTTGTCTTGGCGTGTCTTGTCAAATTCTTATCTTTCCTTTGAAACTAAGCTCGTGGTTTTCCTCTTCTGAGAAACCTTCCTACACTTCCATCTTTTCCTGTACTTTGTATGTTTATAGCACTGCTTCTCCTGAGGCACTTGTCCACAAAGTAGTTGATACCTCAGATATCTATCGAGCAGTTATTATATTTGTTCCATATTGTGGGGTTGTAAAGATGAATCTGGTTTAGGTGTTACCTTCAAACAGTTTATAGTTCAATGTGAAAGAAAAGACATGCACGTCAGTAATCAAAATAAAAATGGAAAATGGTAAGTTCCATGTGGAAGAGACAGTTAATATCAATAGTTAATAATAGGTGCCATCTGTTGAGTACCTAGTGTGTGTTAAGTACATTATTATCACATTTAATCCTCTCATAGCAGCCCAGTAGAAGGTATTATCGCTGTTTCATAGCAGAAGAATGAAATGATTCTGTAATATAGAGAAGTTAAGTAATTGCCCCCAAGTTATCCATTCATGTGGCTGAGGCAGGACTTGAACCCAGGGCTGTACAGCCTATGCTTCTAGCTGTTGAGCAGTCTCTTCTTCCTTAGGATAACAAAGTCTTTGGGGCAAATAATTTTATCTGGGCTGTCAGAGTAAATTCTGTTTTTAATACCAGTGCATAATTTCTTTTTCCCTTCCTTTTTAAGACACTGGAAGAGGAGTTTGCTAGGAAACTACAGGAACAGGAAGTGTTCTTTAAAATGACCGGGGAGTCTGAATGCCTTAACCCATCAACACAGAGCCGGATTTCCAAATTCTATCCTATTCCTAGCTTGCATTCCACTGGATCGTAACAATGGGAAGCATTCTGTGGTTGGGTTTGTCTTCTTAAGTATGTCATTCTGTTCTCTTTATCTTCTGCCATAGTCTGTATCAGAGAGCTCACGAAGACAATCACCTGCCTCACCTTCTAGATGTTTTTTTGTTTGTTTTATTTGTTTAGCAAAGATAAAGGGAAAGGCACTAAGACAGATGCTGGGCCATGCTGGCAAAGTAGCATCTTGCAGTAATTCCCTAAGGTGATTTTTGTATATAATCTTAAAAATTGTGTTGTTTAGATACTGTTACCTGAAAAACTGGTAGAGAGATAATGTTTAAAGTTATTTAAAAAAACCCTGTTACGTCACTTAAGTATTACTAAATATCTTTTTTCCTGACTTAACTTCTCAGTGATGCCTAAAATCTATAGTTGAAACTGCTGTAGAGAGTTGGAATAATTTTTTGGTGAATCACCTCTCATGAAAAAAGTATGAGTTGCTCAAAGTATGATATTGATTCAGTAAATAAATCTGTTATCTTTAAATGTTAGCATCAAACTCTTTTAAAAGAGAAAAATTATTTCAATAATTTGTCTAAAATACTTACCTGTTTAGACATGAGCTAATAATTAAGGGTGCTAGTTTTATTAAAATAGTGCCTAAACACTAAATTTCAGTTGAGTCTAAAATTGCATTTCCTTTTTTGATTCAACAGGGACAAAACACCCTTAGCATTAAGCATTATTGTTTTTTAAATCTTGCTCCTATTACCAGTCGATAGAAATTTTCATCCTAAAGTATATGTTGTACAAAGTTGGAAAGATGAAAAAAATAAACGGTAGCTTTTAGATGTCCAAATTGGAAATGTAAAACTCACCAAATTAAAAAAAATACAGATATAGCTATCTCAGCTTATTTCCTAAAATAATACATGAGCTGGTTAAATGAATTCTCCCATCTTAGCAAATTCTGTTTAAAACTGTTGGAGGCTGGCAGGCTCTGAGTTATATTTATGAATATATTTTTATGAAATTAATCTTAAAAGAGGCATTTGTTCAGAATAGTTTTTAAGAATTTAAAACATTTAGGCAAATATCAGAGATGACTTTTTGTTGTTTTGAGATCGAGTCATTTATATTTTGGTTTTGTTTTGTTCCATGTTTAAATTATTTACTTTGATTTGAGTGGGAAAAGCCTGAAACCTTTATCATGAGGTTGCTGATACATGTAATTATTAATGAAATGCTCACTCTAGTCCCTTTTGAGGGTTAGAATTTCAAGCATGTGTCAGGTCGAAACAGTATTATAAACCATATTTCGGGGTGTGAGACAGTACATCTGTAGACGAAGCTTGCTGCCTGCCATGTGCGCCTGTTCTGTCATGAGTGCCAGGTACCAAATTGTAGAAATTTCAGTTTTTAGTTATATTACACTTGAGGCTCGTGAAAAATGCAAATGAAACTTTGTGGGAACACTGATTCATGTTAAGAAAATGTAAATATCTGTAGCACTTTCTTGCAGTTAATTTGAAAACTTTGAATGCTGAACCTTATTTTATTTTTTCAGTGGTTTAGATGATTTAAAAATGCATGTGATTTTAATTTTGTAATTGTTTTGACAAGCATAATTTACTTGGACAACTTTGTAGGTAGCCTTAACTTCTGGCCAAGTTTGTTTTTTATATGAATATATATACATATATATATATTATGTATGGTTGTAAATTCATACACTTATCACATGAATGTGTTACTGTATACAAAACTCTTAATGCTTTACTCTCAAATGCTGGGTTGAAAAATGTTTTGAAAGCCTTTTAAAATATATATCTTTATAAAGTAATGTTCAGGGTGATGATGGAAATTGTTTATATTGTTATGATAGAAATGACAGTATAATGTTAGCCAGTGTATTTAATGATTTATTTGAAGAGGAAGAAGGTTCTCATACCACTTTCTCCTTTGAAATTTTCAGTTTATTGGCTTTTTCAAAATTAATACTTCAGGCAGTGGACATTTTTTCAGTATCGTTTAAAGGATATCCTGTGTGCTGAATAGTTTATGGCACATAATTAATTTGGTCTGAATATTTGGTTCTTTTTCTTCCTTTCAAGTTGACAGAGTATTGAATAAAGAGGCTCAGAGTAGAACGATTGACACGCTGGTAAGTTTGTTAGCACCTCTTGCATCTCCCGTAAAACTGCCCTTTGGATTCCTTGTTCATGCTCGAGTTCTCTTTCAAAAGTGACCAGACCATATGCATGTAGGAGCAGGACTACAGAATGATATTCATGTAGAGGTAACACCTTCATTTTAATACTTAAAGTTACACAAATCTTTTCAAAAGGTATTTTGTTGTATAGACCGTGCTGTTCGTACCCATCCCTGCCCACTTCTTGCTGTAGGCCCTGTATTCACGTACAGAAGTGTGATCCTTCTCTCTTGCATGAAGCGTAGGTGGGGGGTTGGGGAGGGACACAGACATCTTTGAAATCAAAGAGTACAGTCAAATGCATTCCTGAGTTGGTGGTTTTGTTGCTGTGGCAGAATGTGCTATGAAATGCGTAGAAGAAATTCTCCATGTGTGCCCCCTAATTACTCAGCCTCCCCTCCTCTCCCTGCGTGCTGTGGACACGCCAGGCCACCACGCTTCTGCAGGTCTAGCTCATGGAGCTCGTTGCACCAGGTTGCCTTTCCTAGTCCTGTCAATCCATGGTTGGGTGTGAATTGCTGAATTAGCCGCTATACTATATGGACTCACAGTTAAGCTTTTTCTTACCGTTTTCTATGGGGAAGCTATAGGGTGGGTAAGGAGGAAATTTGGAGTGCTTATACCTTGCTGAAAATGTTGAAACTTTCCTGTGACAGGATTACAGCAAATTGTAATTAAATATAAACCAGAACCAGAGCTACCTCTAAGTAGTGTTTCCTCAAGCACAAAGCTCTCAGGCATATGAGACCCACTGTGATGGAGGGTCTCTGATTTCTTGAGCATCAGTGAGTTTCAGAAGTGATTGTCTTTTGTAGTCTCCTAGTTCCCTTGTAAGTACACACTTTTTCCCCCATTCCACACTGTGCTTAAATGACAAAGACTCTTCTGAGAAGCCAAATTCTGTCAAATGATTAGCTAGAGATATTGTTGATTACAGGGAAATGTAGAGCTGTGAGGTGGAGGCGGCGAGCTCTGTAGTTCCAGTTCTAATAGGCTTCTGGTTGAATAAATCAGTTCTTTCCTGGGAAATGATCTTTTATAGGAAATGGGATATTTTAAATGCTTTTCTTAAGTTGAAGGCACAACAGTTAATGCCGCTACTGTTGCTATCCTGTGGCTGACATGGTTTTGATACAGCTTTAAAACTTCTGTTACCAAGCTTAGGGTAGAATGTGATACCAGTTTTAAATGTTGGCTGTAGCTTTTTGTAATCCTTCTCTGATTTGCAGTGTAATAACTTCACAAGCTAAATTTTCAGAAAGAATTTTGTTTCAGAAAATGCCTCTTGTCTCTTCGGGAGCAACATGTCTTTTCAATCATGGGGTTGGCAAATGAAAAATAAAGTTATTTCTTACTCTACTTTGGGAAGCAGTCTTTTATTGAGACTATTTGAAACTGGATTGTCCTGCATGAGAACATTTTGTAGCATTTTTTAAAATCCTAATTATTTTTTAAAACTCACAGTCCTCCAGATCTTCTGACCGGTCAGACTTACTAGCATTCCAGACCGTCTGTAGTCATCACACACAAGAGGGTCCTTTTTACTGGTAACTTGGGAGTGTCTTTCATTGCCCAAACCCCGCCTTTGGGTGGTGCTTAAAATATTTCCATCATCATATGTATATATACCTTTTTTAATGTCCTTTTTTCCCCTTGGAATGGATTATTTTTCTCACCAAACATTTCACAAACTGTGACGTCACTTCTAAAAACAACCTCTTTTCATCATTCATACATTCATGCAAGATTCAGTAGACATACTAGGCTGACCATTTGGCACGTGGTCAGCTTGGATGGAGGGAGGAGCATGTCATTTTCTAATGACATGGAGCATGTCATTTTCTAATCCAGGAGCATTGCATACTGTGGAGCTCATGCTTGACTTTTTTTTTTTTTTTTTTAATGAAAAAAAAGAGTCTAAGATCCACCGCCATGCAGCTGAGGACATATCTCATATCTGGGTTCTGTCCAGAGAAGCCAGCGAGTTTGGGCTTTTACCCTATTTCTCTTGGGCATACGATTCTATGAAGACTTTTGGATAGCTTGGATAGGCAGATCTCATAACTAGGACAGAACTCAAAAGTCTGGTTAATCAAGGTAAGGATCATTAAAGGGGCTATAATACTTGAGCTTCTAAAGCTACTATTACAAAAACAAATTGAGTCAGCCTTTAGGTAAAACTAAAATGTGAGAAAGGCACGATGCATTCATTCATTTTACTTAGTAAGTAAGTTTTCATTAGACTGTAAAATGTCAATTAACCGAAAATGTTTTCTTCCTTTCCCTCTTTCTTTTCCTCCTTTCCTTTCTTCCTTCCTTCTTCCCTCCTCCCCTCCCTTCTTCTGGTTTTTTTTTTTTTTTTTGGTTAGATGGAGCACATTAAACATATTAAAAAAGAAAAAACCCTTTAATTGGAAATTTTGCAATTGAAATGACTCATCTAATAGACCACATGAATGTTTGCAGACATTGAAAAGTGCAATAAAACCAACTGCGCCCAGTCCCCCATGCGTTTCCTAAGTGCAGAGCAGGGGTGCCGGCTTCCGGTGTCAGGCAGTCTGCTCTCCCTCCCCTCCCCTTCTTTCCTCCTTGCCCCCTGCCTTTCTCTTCCTATTGGCTGCAACCTAGTTCAGTGCAACATACTATCAACTCTAGCGTGGACCTATGGAGACAGATCATAGCTGCAATCAAACAAACCTAAGTGGGAATGTGATACATAGAAATAACTAGTAGAAACCCTGTCACCACCTTCAGGGGAAGTGGATTTCTTAAGTTTTTCAGCTGAGAGAGTTTTTTTCTATGACTAGCGAATGCAGAGTGGAGAAAGGAGCTGAGAGCACAGCCTTGCAGTGTTGACCAGAACAGTCCCATCGAGTGGCTCCCAGGAAGACACCCCCATCCCATCTTCCATTTTCTGGGCTCATTTTTAAGGTGAAGCTCAAGGGCTCCTGAAACAACTGTTATGTACCTGGCTTTCCTAGGCTGGGGCTTGAGCTCAGTGTTAAAGAAGCCGAGGAGCTCAGGCCGGGACAGCAGGGAGGCCAGCTTCATCCTCCCACACTGCACGCGGCCACTGTTGAGTCTACCCCGTGAAGCTGTTTCAGACTGTGCACCTTGGACTGAATTCTACGTACATATATTCTGCTCCAGACTAAGATAAGGGTTCTAGTTGACTGTTTGCTGTGCTGCCTCAGTAGGACAGTGAGATTCCAGCTTTTGCCCTCTGGAGAGGTCTTGACATAAGCGCCATAAGCCACTGCAAGAACTGGTCCAGGCGGCTGTTCCGCCAAGGGTCGCTCATGGCTTGACGGCGATGCTTCTCCTTCTCCGGCCAGCATAGACTTGGTCACCTAGAAGTTGGAAGATGAATGGGAAGTTAGAAAATGTCCTGTGGTCTGTGGGGACTTCCGCTCGGCTGATTACAGTAACTGTGACTACTACAAGACCGGCTTGAAAGATGAACCCTTTTGTAAGACTGTCAATTGATTTAAATTGATTTTACCCTGTTTCATTACCGGCCTGGTTCTCCTTTTCCTCCCTGCGTTGACACTCTTCTTCCTTTCTCCCTGGCTGTTCATTTGATAGTTACACAAAGTATGCTGTTGCCGGTACCTGCCTTTCATAACTGGCATTTGCCTAAAATTTTCAGGCTTGCTCTGGAACATGTGGCCTGCTTCCCGGCACTCCAGGAACTGTGGCAAATGAGGCTTACCTTTGTCTCCTTTTTCTCCCTTGTGTCCTCGAGGGCCGGGTGGCCCAGGCCGACCTGGTGGCCCAGCAGGGCCCCTCTCACCTAGGAGGACAGAAGGGGGCACGGCTAAGCGAGGCACAGTGCAGGGCCTGAAGGAGCCGCACACGCTCCCAGCACAGCGCTGGCAAGGGAGCTGCTTCCCACGAGAGGCAGTCGTTAACACGGGACCCTGCTGGCTGTTTCCTGCTACCACTTACCTTTGGGGCCAGGGATGCCCATCTCTCCCTTCTGCCCAGCGGGTCCTGGGATGGCTCCATAAGCTGCAAGGGGGAAAAACCGGCCTTAGACGAGAGCTCGTCCTGGTGCTTGGGAAGTAAAGTGATTTGTTCAGACTGACACAGGCAGGTAGTGGTAGAGTTTGGACTTGTAAGAAGAAAACGGTTCAGAATTTATCTGATTTTCAGCATCTCAAGTGTTAACAAGCTTTCTGGGGAGACTGGTTTCTGTGGAGCAGACTGCACGGCAGGTGACGTATTGGGAAAGTAGTCGGGGCGCATGCCCTTACCTCTGAAAAAGTCCATGAGGTCCTCGGTCACGTTGCTGTAGGCGGAGAAGACCTTGCTGATGCCAGGGGGCCCCTGGGGCCCAGGCTGGCCTGGTGGGCCCCGCACAGTGTAGGCCATCCCTTGGAGCAGGCCCTGACCTGTAAAAACCAGAGTGGGTGGGCACAGGCAGCAGGGGTCACCCGGCACCCTCCTCACGGTGGGAGCGCGGTGCCCTCTGACTGTCTGGCTCCCATCCCAGTCAAGCTCTTCTGTGCGGCAGCGAGGGAAGAGCCTCCTTAGTCTCCCCTGTTGACAGGCACGTCTCGCCTCCGTGGGCTTGTTTCACAGGCCTTTTACTGCATAGCTGTGCTGGTGAGCCGCCCGGGAAAGGGCTTCCTAGTCAACAACCTTCCCGCAGCCCCACCAGAAAAGCTTCATAGTCATATAGACTCTTCTGGGAAAACAAAGGACAAAGACCCCAGCATCTCTGTTTCCTGCAGCATAGCTTCCAGTCTCGACTGGGCCCCTTGATCTAAGCTTGTCTTCAGTCCCTGCCCGTCTGATTCCAGAACTGCTGTCCTCCTGGATGTGGAGATGCTCACATGCTCCCGTAACCCCGCAGTGCTGAAGCCTACGTGTCCTCACTTACGCTGCAAGCTGTCAGACACCCGAACGGCCAGCTCGTTGTAATCCAGACCTCCGGCAAAGCTGGCCCCGAAACCACCGTCACCGCCATACATGCCGCCTTCTGCCGCTGCCCCATAGCCTCGGACCCGGCCCACGTCCAGGCCAAAGGCTCCCCCTTCGCCCAGGGAGCCTCCGCTGGCTCCTCCTATGCCCGTGGAGGAGCTGTAGGAAGAGGCCCGACTGAGAGAAGAGGAGCTGCCGCCCCGGCTGTAGGAGCTGTCCGTGGACACCAGGCGGCTGTCCCCGGGGGGACCCTGGGGCCCGGGAGGACCCGGCGGGCCGACGATGAAGCTGCGCACGTCAGGACCTGTGGGGAAGCAGCAGCACTAGTGGGAGCCACAGGTCTGGGGGAGAGAAAGAAGTGGGACTTGGGGGTGTCTCCCCCAGGGCCTCAGCACCCCTGATCAGGATGTGAACTCGCACCGAGCGGGAGCATGTGGGCTGGGAGGAAGCCGGGCTTCCTCCACCAACCAGGGCGGCTTATGCGTTGGGCCTCCAGTTCCCTTCACGCCCCGGCTGGCTGCCCCTCTCACAGGGAGAAGCGTGGTCTGGGAGGGGATGGAGGAGGGAGAGTGACGTCAGGGACACCCACTTGTGAGGTAGCTGATCAGCTCACTCCGGAAGTTGTCGCTGTTTTCAGCTGCGTATGTCGCCAGAGCTCCTGAGACCCCCGGGGGCCCTCGAGGGCCTGGGGGGCCAGGGGGACCAGGAGGGCCTGGGATGGATGACAAGCCAGCAGCTGAGCAGGGGGCAAGAGAGAGAGAAAGATCAGGGATCCCCTGCCAGGACCGCGGAACTCCCAGCCTGGGCCCGTCTGGAAGGAGGCGGTGAGGGAGGCCTTCACACGCGTGTCCCGTCCTCCCCTGGAGTGACTGCTCCCCACTGCTCTCCACCCCCAGTCCCGGGCCTCATTCAACCCAAGTCATATCTCTTCCCCTCAGCCCTTCTGCCGCTGGGAGTTGGGGCTCCCAGCTGGGCACCTGGTCACCTGCTGGCCCCTGAGTTCTCTCGTGACTTGGATGCGTGGTGTCCCCCCCACTTCTCCCCCTGCCAGGGCTGAAAGCACCTCAACGTCAAGTGTGTCACCCCCCACGGCCCCAGAGCCCGGCCCTGTACCCGCTCTAGGAGGACTGGTGCCTGGGCTGAGCCCTCCATGGCTGCCCTGGCTCAGACCCGCGGGAGCCCTGGAGGTCAGGCTGCAGCCCTCGCCCGCCTCACTCCTTACTCTGCAGGTAGGATGAGAGGTCCTCCATGCTGATGCTGGACCACGCGCTGCCTGGGAGCCCTGGTGGCCCAGGGGGACCTGGGGGCCCAACAATGCCTCTGAATTCAGACCCTGAGAAACCAAGGAAGAGCAAAGATCGGTCATAGCCTGGGCTAAGGAGCTCTGCCGTCCACCCCGAAGCACTCGGTCAGATGGCCCTGCTCGGCCCTACCTTGGAGCAAGGAGAGGAGCTCCTCGTAGGATGTTCCCGGCAAGCCTGGGGGCCCTGGGGGGCCAGGAAGCCCAATGCTGACTCCGGAGCCTGAGGAACAAATCCCAAGTTGCAATGGATGCAGATCAGACAGGGAAGGGCAGATGGAAACACTGTGTCAGAGAGGAAGCCAGACAGAAGCAACCTGAACAGAAGCGGAGGCTGGGATAGGGGGGAGAGGGGCAGCAGGGATA